GGATTAATCTGAGACGGTTAGCTTTACTTCCTGTGTTATTGTCTCACTATCAGTTAAATTCTCAGCTCTTAGATTTCCTGCACTCGTGTTGACCCTAGTCAAGTATTTAGGCTTCTTGATTCTCTTTGGCTTCGCTTGTTTGTCACGTTTGGTGGACATAGTTTAATAATAGTTTCATGATACAGGTTTTACATGTCAAAGTCTTATAGATGTTGAACCCGACACAATGAAGTGCAATCCGGGTTTCTTTAAAAACAACTGCAAAACACTGAAATATCCCTTTAAGAGGTTGAGATTTGCATGATTGCTATGTAAACTTAACGCATCATTCTTGTAAAATTAAGTTGTTCAAAGTGGTTATTAAAGTTTTTGAAATTAAAGCTGCTGCATGCACAAATAAGAACTAATTAGGGGAACTGTTAAAAAAAACAAAAAACTGCTCCCACAGATAAGAAAACTTACACAACTTCTGCTTATTGCTTTGAATGATTGCTTAACGATAACTTTTGCAAAACATATCAATTAGTGAGATATTTAAATTACAACCACTTCTGGGTTGGTGTTTTATGAGTGAGGTGTGGACGGTAAGGCAGGTAAAAAATAAAAAAAATCTCCAAAGCTTGCTATTAGAGCACTGACAACATGAAATGTTGCTACTTTAGCAGGGACACCAATAAATGTAGCTGTCATTGTATCTCTTACAGCAGAAATATGATAAGTTCTTTTTCTCTTTAAAAACACAAACGTGCGTCTGCAGTAGCTCTATTACGTCTCCTGTAGTGTTATTCTACAGATGACTCATAGCTGCAGTCTTTGTTCCTAACACAGCAGATTCACACAGTGCACAAACATGCTGTGCAAAAATTACAAAAACACGTATGTACGTACACCTGACTTTTGTGATTTTAAACATTTTAACTTCATATATTGTATCAACACCCCAGTGTGTTCTTGAGATAACATCTGACTTTTTCACTAATTCGTTCATAGTCAAACCTTTACCCAAGTGTAAATTGTAACAATCAATATCAATGTTTTGCTTATTTTTCTCCAAACCCACCTCTCGCTGGCTGGGGTCCACTCCCTCTGGAAGCTCACTGGCGGGTACATTAATGAGCAGCTTAGAGTCCACAGACATCCCACTGCTGCCAGCTGGGGAGTAGGTGCCTCTGAACGGGCTGGTGGGAGTGGTGGACTTTGGCGACATCATCCCTCCGTGGGTCCTGTACATTGGGAATGTGCTTGCAGGCCCTCCAGGAGCACTGTAGCCTCCAAAGTCTGTTGCGTCAACGCCTTTATTTAAGCTGCCGGCATTCAGCTCCTTCAAATGAAAACAACATGAATAAAGACCATGCTTGCCAAATAGAGGCATCAAAATCAGATGTTGGATCAGTAATATTAGCACAGGAAGTCAATCAGGATCGAGATTGCGATCAGTCAGTCACTTACTACAGTCATCTCAGAGATAGATGCTGCATCATTCAGCTATTTTTTAACATCCTCATAGGAGTTTCCCCCCTGTTGAGAAGATCGGCTTTGATTAAGGAATTAGTCGGCATGCAGAACCCTCCTCATCGCTAAATAAGGCTTCGAGTCATCCATGTAGGAGCAGGTGTGCTTGTCTGATTTCTGAAATGATTCGCTCAAACAAGATTATTTATCCCACTCATCTGAAATCTGGGAATTTTTTTCTGCAATCATGCTTGATAATACAATAGAAATAGTAGATTATTCAATCATGCTTTATTTGCTTATCATTAGTACTTCTATTTAAAAAGGCGCAAAAGCTTGCATACACTCATTGTGGGCATGAATGTAATTCATTTGGGGATTTTAATGATGCATTTGTACACATTTGAACTTATTGTGGATATTTTCCTAGTTCACCCAGGCTGTCATACACACCCCCACTATTACTTAGATGAATGTTCCCATTAGAAGAACTCCTTTCTTTTTATAGTGTTTAAGAAGATCCTGGTATATATATTCTTCAACTCTTCTTGTTAGAAACGGTGGAGCTCAGTTTAATAGATTATTTCCCTCGCACATACCCAAATCTTCAGCCTTGACTGCAAATCTCCAATAGGAATTAAGGCCATTCTTTATTCAGTCTAAAACTCCTTTTGTTCTTTGTTTGAGGTAATTCTCCTAAACTCTTCTTAGATTTGAAAGCTTAATCTTTACTGCTCCAGACATACTTCTTCTCGTGAAGTTGAATTGCTTTAAATCTGTCTTGCGAGACCATACATTTTCCCTACTGGAGGCATCTGGCTCATCCATGTGAACAATTTTAATTAGACTTGAAGATGTTACATTTGACAAGGGCCATTATCTGGTCCATGGTGATGTCTTATATTGGCTTTGAATTTCCTCCTTGCTGAAATGAGCGATTCAGATAAATTTGCCTTCCCTTGGGCTCACGGGACAGTGACGCTGGTGTTCAAGCATCTTTCGCAACACGTTAGGCTTGAGCCTTGGGTTGTTCCTGAACATTATACCCAATTTTCCTACTACCTAAGGGTGACAGTCTAAAAGCACAATGATCTCCAAATAATGCATGAAAAGTGACTTTTGAAGAATTTAATTCATCTTCCTCAATGGCCCTTCAAAAGCCCAACTTCAACATTATTGAAAATAGGTGAACTATGTTTGAAAACTGGGTCCATGCCAAGTTTATGCCAAGCAGACTGGTCAAAAATGCAGTCAGAAATGCCAGATGCTTGTCAAAGTTGACAAAAATGTTGTAATCAATGTTTAGCTTTCTAAGGGTCAATTAACAATACAGTGGAGGGAGGGAGTGTTTGCACATGTTTGAGCTTGTATGTTTTTACTTTTGTGATTGGAGAAAAATAGATAAATTCAAACGCATATGTTCATATTTATTAAAAAGATCCCTTTTCAAATGCATCATTAAGAGCCCAAAATGGGTCTGAAATTCATTCAGACAAAAAGTGTGCGGCACATTTCCGACCGTAAACCTACGCTCCACTTGAAAGGATCCCACGCGTTAAACCAGCCAGTGAAGGTGAGCGGCTCATTCCCCTGTTTCACAAAGATGATTGGCGCGTCAGGGTCGCGGCCAGCTGGATGCATCTTCAGGTACTCGCGTGCGCTGTTCCAAGACTCTTTGGTCTCAGTCTCATTGGCAAACTTTCCAACCCACAAGAAAATCTGAAGAGACGCAAACAAAGAGGATGTGAGACGGAGAGACGAAGCGCAGAACTTCACCGTGCACGTTCGATGGCGTGCGTCCGCATGAACTCCGCCCTCTGACCTCCTCCCAGGTGTCCAGAAGCATCACGTCCTCCTCGTCCAGATCACTCTGGTCAAAGTTATAGACCTCGGTTATCCTGAACCGACCCGTCTGGTTCGAGCACTCAAACAGACGGGGGGAGTGAAGTGGATCCTCTCGCTCCAGTCTATACATAGGGAGAGTTGATTAAATGACATTTTTACCAAACGTAATACGGTAGTTTATTGTTTTGAGAGGTGAAAAAAAACGCAAGAAGTCTCAAATCCTGTAGTTAAATGCTTTGTCTTAGTTGACCTCTTGTCGCTGGCGTAGGGGGCCTTTCCTCCGAGAGCAATCCAGAACTCAGCTGGCTCCTGGCCCTCCATCACCACCTCCTTATACTGCCTAAACAGGCGGTCAGACATTTCCGTGGCCATCATCCTCTCATCTCCGCTGCAGCCCTACCGACGTGCACAATTTACACAAATATGAGAACACACGTCGAGCAAAATGCAGGGTTCTTACTTTAAACAACATGTCATAATTGTAACGCTTGCTTTGCAGCTTCAGAATGGGATCCGTACCTTTCCATACCACAGATAGCATTTCTGAGGGGTCCTCAGCAAGAACACGTCGTTGCTGTTTAGACACGAGGCCCTTGCTGGAACTTCAGTGGCCTTTGTGTTCAGGTCAGAGGTTCCTCTAACCTGGAAGAGGCTGGCGGTGGTGCTAGGGCTGACTGCTCCAGCCCGACCTGTTCCTCCCTGCAAAAACACACGTTACTGTTATTGCACTTGTACACTAATGGGTTTTTCTATTATTGTCATTTGAGATTCACAGTTTGGAAAAATGTTTAATAACGTAACCCAGCTTCAAACCCCTCCACAACTTTCTCCTTGACTTGTCAATGTTACTAGTCTTAATTTGGTTTAAAGCAGTGTACAAATCGCACCTCAAAGATGATGAGTTTTCCTTTGAAGATAGCCAGGAAGTGGCGAGGCTCCTTTCCCATCACCACTCGCACCTGGACAGGGGCTCCGTTGTACATGTTGTCAACGGTGACCGCCTGGTAGGCGCAGGCTGTGATCTCATCTCTGGTGGCATGGCGACCCTGATGCAAAAGATTTACGGAAATAAATAAGCACAAACAGAGGGTTTGTAGGTTTGTTTGTACGATAGGAAGAAAGACTTTGAATTGTTTTCTTATGAAACTGACCTGCCACATGTAGAGTATGTACTGCTCTCTGTTTGACACGCGGTATGTGTACAGCACCAAGTAGCAGTCGCCTCCATAAAACTGCCCGTGCATATTTGGCTGGACCTCAGCCAGTTCCAAATTCTCAATGCGCCACACCTGAAAGGGAGAAAATAAGTCTTCAGATTTTATTTCTTCCTTATGGCAGTCCTAGTATGACTTGTAATGGTTTTATATTTTTACATCAAAGTGTGTACTTTGTACCTTCACTTCTCCTGAGCCATCATCAACCAAGTGGTGCTTTGCCGCCATGTCAGGGTGAGCGTGGAGCTCCATCACGTCAAACTTTACCTGCTCAACCTTGGCTGTATGATAACCCAAATGATGTGTTAATAAATAATAATAAAAAAATGAACTCAATTAGTCACCTGCAATTAGGAAAATTATTATCTGAAATAAAATTAAAAATGAATCAAGATTGTACACACAAACAGGTGTCCTGAAAGTGCTGATTGATTCAAGGATGTCATGACCTCACGGATGTTATGTCAAGTTCCAAAACTGTTTTGGCCTGTCTTTCAGAGAATTAAAATAGCTAACGTCCTCTAAGTAATATTTCAGTGATATCTATGTATCAGAGTATGATCCTATGATTTGTCGGGACCCACTACGTCCTCTTCTCGTCTTTTATTTCTCTGCTCTCATCACCTCTTTTATCTTTTAATTTTCTTTTTTACAAATTGCGTCAGGAAAACATTTGCTTTTCATAGTTTGTATTGGTAAATTTTTAACTAAGTGAAAAAATAAATCTCTCTGGCTTGCATTCTTAATGTAAGTACATTGGTTATGAATGGTTGTTGGTGATATTACCTATCTTTCCAACAGTGTGGGTGTTGCCCAGTCCGGTAATTTGCCCTTTTTCCCTCCAGTTTTTGAACAGGTGTTTAAACATGGCTGACTCTCCTCCCTCACTCATCACCTCCACACTGGTGCTGGACGGATAGTTTTTGGTTTTAATGTAGTTCTGGCGAGAAAGAAAACACAAACGTCTCAATTACGGGGCTCGAAAAGACAAATAAAAATGAAGACGCAGACACAATTCAGATTTAGTCTTGAATCATCTTTAGTTTCATACCAGCGCTCTCTTCATAGCTTCTCGACGTTCATCCTTTGAGGCCTTTTTGCCCTTCCAGACCATCACATTAGAGCCGCAGTTGTCCAAAATATAACAGTCCTGACACCAGTGACAAACAAATAATGACATGTAAAATGTCCTATTTTTTCTAACAAGCTTTTTCAGAAGAAAAAGTCAGGAGGATTAAACGTAGTTACAGCGGAGCGGAGCAGATCTTGTGTCAGAGGCTGCACGGCCACCTCTTGGATCACTACGTTGCCAGTGTTGTCATACACGCTGTTGACAGACAGGAGAAGAGTGTGGAAATACGAAATACAATTCTCCGAAATAACATCACAGTCATGATGCGTCAGTGGAACAAAAATATCAAACATTTGTGTTCTTACTGGTAGAGTCGGACGCTGTTGTTCTGCTCCTGGTCATGTTTGTCATCAGAAACAGGCTTCTTCAGCTGGCTGGGTCTTTTGCCGAGCACGTCGGCCATCATTTGTACCACCTCTGGTGTGTCCTTCTCACGTGCTCCCTCCACGACGACGACGTCGGCCCGACCTCCACGCTCCCTGTCCCGAATGTCCTGAGCCAGCAGCACCGCCTGCAAACAAAGTGCAATAGAATAGAATAGAATAGAATAGAATAGAATAGAATAGAATAGAATAGAATAGAATAGAATAGCTGCTTTAAATGCACTTCTGCTCATACCTTGAGCTTTTCCCTCCTGTTGCATTCAGGGCCGTTCCACTGTATGATGGTTTTCCCAAGGTCCAGAATAAACACATCTCCACTGTTAAAGCTGTTCCAGGACACCTCAACCTGCAAACAAAAAACGGAGCTTTGAATTAATTTAAATGGAAATAACACAACATCTGTGTGGCTGCAGATGTACAACAATACCACACAATCGCAGCTTTGCTCAGTTTATTTACACCTTCAGTGACAGCTGCAACAACAACTCTACTATAATTTGTCAAACAGGAGCATCAACATGGCTTTGGTGTAACTGTGCGAAGCAGCAGTGGGAGGTACAACATATACTGTAGTAATGTCTTTCAGATCCACAACTATTCTTCTTTACGAACCTCTGCAGCTGACACATGCTTCCTCCCTTTGACGTGCAGCAGCCGCACGATGTTGTAGACGTTTGTGTCGACATGGTTAAAGCCTGACGCCAGGCCACCCTTCTTGTAGCTGCGGAGAGATTAGTGACCAAAGTTCAGTTGTAATAAAACAAACCTGAGGCTGCGTTTGTTGTAAAGACTCAAAGTTTTTTTTTTTTTTGACCGATTTTTTTTCTTCTTCTTCTTTACTACCATAAAAGAAAAAAATCTGAGAGAATGAATTGAATTTTTCTGAGCTAATTCTCAAAACGGAAAAACATCAACATTTCAGACAAAGTGATTACCAGTATAAATCATGTTTCAGGGAGATTGTAACACAGTTGAGTGCGTGTGACCTTTTGGGTTTCTTATATTCCGCCCTTAACACCCAGGCAAGTGGACTTTATAACTTACATCAGGCCGTTTTTAAAGTAGCTCCTGAACTTTGGTGACTCGAAGCCCTGCACCTCCCTGTACTGCACTGGACTCCCACCCAGATACTCGTCCAGCTGGGTGACGTAGAGGGCTGCAGATCCCTGCTCATCCTGGGAGGAGGACTTTCCTATCCAATAGTGGATGTCGATCGACTCTCCCACACCCTTATTCTTGCTTATCTGGTTTGTAGTTGGGAATTGATAAAGGCGCACGGGTGAATGATTTACATTTGTACACGTAACCTTATCGGTGCCGAGTCTCATTAAATTAAATCAACCGGTGCCGTACTCACATTCAGAATAATGTAACAGTCGCCCTCAAAGAAGTTACCGAAGGTCTTGGTTGGAACCGGAGCCATCCGCATTTTCTGTGTAAAGAAAACAACAACAACTCTCTGACCCAAGGAAGCAACACTTTGTCTTGCAATATTTTGTGAAATGCACCAGAAAATGCTTATTCCTATTTTTAGAGTTGCCTTACACTGATGGTCCATATCTGCAGGCCTGGCTTCCGATTGATGTTTGCAAACATATCTCTGTCCTTGCTGTTCATCTTTGAAGTGAACTAAAACAGCAGAACAGGAAAAAAGTTACTCTCCAAAGTAATTTTTTCTGACTTATGAAAGAGACTTTGAGGACATTTGAGGCATGTCATACAGACATGCATGACAAGGAATCATTATTTTTGAATAAACAATCAGTATCAGAATAACTGTATTGTTGTAAACTTAAATTAAACTACGACAGTCGCTTGAGCACAGCAATAAATGTCTTCATTTAGAAAGAATTTTAAGGTTACAACTTTTGTACTTTGTAAACTTTTCAACTTAAAAGTTGAAAAATATATGTCAACTTGAATCTTGATATAGAAACCCAATCAAAAGGAACCTGTCTGACAACATGAAGTAGGCTAAAAGAGCTAAATAAATTTAAGACAAAACTACCCACATCCGTCATTCTGAAATGGGTTAAAAAGTAATTTCTAAAACTTTTGGAACCACAGTGAGAGTCGCTATGAACAGAAACTCTCCAGGAGATCGCGAAATAACCCGGAACCACCCTTGTGGCGCTGCAGACCTAATTTGCTTCAGTAAAAGGTCAGTGCTCACGACTCAACAGATGAATCACAACCAGAAGTGATCTGAAAGCAATGCTCTGTTTCTCCTTGCTGCAAATACTGAGGTCGGTGTGCCTCTCCACAGTTTTAAATGTTGGGTTGGACAGCTGTCTTTTTCCCTGCGTGCCATCAAACATGCAAATGGTGGGTGGCCAAGGTAACGCTGAGCCACGAGTCAGTGCTGAAGTGTGAAGTATTCAGGGGTGAAACCGACAATGATACCCCAGTTAAACTCCATCAAATTCTGATTAATATTCAAAATGGATCTACGGTGCATGTCATCGGCTTCTCTGTCTCAACTGATTACCCATAAAATGTCAGTGAACACAATCACTTCAAATGTGATATCATACCATATATCCATGAATGATATCCACACAAGACCCTTGTAAAATCATATTGCTATAAACCTCTCAAATAGTCGAAGTAAGCCAGTTGGATCACCGTCTGACTGTAGAATGACCCAAACCCTTCTGAAACATCAAGATTTATGTTGACACGAATGCGCCGCACAGTTAATGCAGCTTTGCCAGCTGCGCATTCAGGATGCAAATTTCTCATCAGATCACATCCCAAAAATACTCTGTTGGACTGAAACTTAATGACTGTGGAAATCATTGGAGTACAGCAATCTTATGCGGACATTTAGGAAACCAGTTACAGCTGATGCAAAAGTTGAAGCATGTTAAATTTTGCTGCTGGGTAGACATTGTCAGTAACAGCAGCACATAATTAGGGTGTGGCGTTTAAATGATGATCAAAAGGGGAAAAGGTTGTGCTACACAGAGATATATATCTCCAGATCATTACACATAAACCAGATTATATTGATATATGGCAGGATAGATCCACCTTTTCTTGATTGCTACACTAAATTCTGACCTGAATGTTGCAGCCAAAGTCAAGTCAAATTTTTGCGATTTATCACAGCTGAGTTTTGTTGGACTTTGTTGAAATTGAAGCGTCCATTTCCTGCTTTTGGCTGAAAGGAGAGGCACCCAGTGTGGTTCTCTCCTGCTGTAGTCCACCTGCTTCAAGATTCTCTGAACTTTCAAAGATTTTATTTTGATTTCCTTGGTTGTAACGAGTGATTATCAGAGCTGCTGATGTCTTTCTGTCATAATGAACCAGTCTGCCGTTTTGTTTAACTTTTCTTTCAGACCATTCTTTGTAAACCTAAGAAATGGTTTCATGTGGTCGGCAGCAAGCATGCCACCTTCAAATTACCTTAAATATTTTTTCTTCCTCATTCTGATGCTTATTCTGAACGATAGGTGATATGACATCTGTCATATGGCAAACATCAGTGAAATGAAATAAATGTTTGTCTAGCTTCTCTGTTAAAAATAAATAAAAAAAATGGGTGCAATATGATAAAAGCTATGAAACATTCATATATTGAACCTAACAATGGTGAAAAACTCAGCGAGTCATACCTCATTTTAAATACTCAAAGGGCAAAACGCAAAACTTTTATGACACTTTTTCAAGATGTATATTCTCCATCATTTCAGTGGAGAAAGATATTTTTAAAATATCTAGAAGATATTTTTGAAAGATTACGTAACTGACAGCGAGGCAGCTGTGGCAAGTCCTGCAATCAGCTGTGCTTTAACAGCCGCTTTGCTGAGATATCAGAAACAACAGAGACGGTAAGCAAACACTGAACACGGGCGTACAGCTGTCACCCTGCATGACTCAGTGGGATGTCGTGCTACTTCTGTCTGATTGTCATGTATCTAAAAGGGCTTTGGGATCATTTAGTCCTCAGATATAGTGGCTTTGAAAAAGCTTTAATAACCCGTGAACCTTTTCAGGTTTTGTCACGAGACAGCAAACTTCGGTACGTTTTACTTAAATCTTATGCAGGGAACCAGCTGAAGGTTCTCTGTAAATGTGAAGAGAAATTGTTTGACAAAAAAAAGGATCAGCAAAGACGGAAATCACAAGAGAGTTGGAGTCTTTAAATCTGCTTACTTGCAGCAAAGAGAGGTGCAATGAGGACACAAGTCGTTAACTATGGTCACTCCTACTAAAACTGTTCAAACCATTTTGATTATATACACTGTCTATCTGTGCAGCCGTAGATATCTTTTAGATTTGTAAAACCATCGGCAGGAAATCAGCTAATTTCTGCAAGTGGCCAAGAGTAATCTTCAAATGTCATTCTTTTCTACAAATAGGTCATTGTCTAAAATGTACAATATGATAAGTGGCAACAAATGAATAAAAGGTCAAACAAACATTAATAAATATAATTTAAAAGTAAAGCGTAAAATGACGATAATAAAACAAACCTTTTTATTAATTCTAATACAGCCAGCTGCTTTCAGAAGTCACCTCATTAATAACAGAGTCCAGCTCTGTATAATTTAATCTCAGAATAAGTACAGCTGTTCTGTTAAGAGAGCATTGATGATTAAACAGCAACATAAAATCCAAAGAACACACCAGACAGCACAGGGTGAAAACACCAATCAGAGAAGCAGCCAAAAGGGCAACAGTTCCTCTGGATGAGCTGCAGAGATGCTCCGCTAAAAACGGAGAATTTGGTGGAGGCACAACTCAAAAGACTTTCAGCTGTGCGAGGTTTTTAACCAGTAGTAGTATTTAAAGCTTGTACATTAAAGCTTGTTGTTGTAACACAGAGAATCTGAAAAACTTTAATGGATAGGAGACATTTTGAAAGGCACTGTGCACATATCTTGAACTACACCTCTGATCGTGTCTCCAATGTTTTGCACAGCTGATTACTAAAGTGAGATAGATCAGGCCAGCTGTACTCCACCAGAATCTTAATAAAACATACCATTAATATTAACAGGGTTCTGCTATTGGCTGACCTGATAGTGAGGCGATTGTGCTTGGGCTTGGTTCAGGCTGGAGAAATGCTTGTGAATGTAACATTTTATGCATCACTTCATTGGGTTTTCCACTGCAGAGACAGAGTCTACATCTTTTTAACATAAACTCTGTTGGAAGTGACTTGCTGCTACCTGTCTCTGTGGTGATGCCCTTTCACACTGAGTTCAACTGATGTGCTGCTGATCCCTCAGGGTTGGGTTTTCACCAAACACGTGAACATTTATCTGTAGTTTATGACATCAGACTGGCTCCTTCCCCCCCAAAATGGAAATGATGGTACAAAGTATTGAAGGCATAGTTCAAAAAGTACCTGATATCGTACAAAAATACAACCATGATGTTAACCATAAACCACAGATTTATTGTCTTCGTATCAACTTGCAGCATGAGTCTGCAGCCTTTATTACTCTTAAGGAGTTTATTTGAAGGGTTCAGGCCTCTAATAGAATGTGCTGTGATGGTGGGCAGGGGTGAATGAAATAAACCGCTGAATCATGCCAAGTGAATGAGGTCTGGAACTACTCCTAATGTCCTTAAACTTTTCTTTTTGCAATCGTTCAACGTCATCTTCAGCAGCAGAGCTCCAGGCTTTCTGTTTAGGTTTTCTCTGGCTGTTTATTAACTCAAATAATGTTCCAGTCAATTCATATAGCACTGAGAGACAGTTTTCAGAGAAAATAGGTATTTTGCTCTGTAAAGTGGTTTCATTTCCACTGTCGCCACATGCTTGGTCCAAAGAATGGGCAAAGTCAATGACTGGATGCAATTAGCCAGGCCTTTCTTTAAGTATGGGAACAGAAACGGAAATTGACTGCATTGTGTTAGAGCTAGGATTCAATGTGACTATAAATAACTGCATTAGTCACTTGGTATTATGTATATATAAATTGGTAAGGAGTTGGACATGTTTGTCTTGTAAACTGCCTTGACAAGACATTAGTTGTCAGTTGAATAAACATGAATTAAATTAGCAAGCAGCAATAGTTTTCATTGGATGCAAATTGCACAAGTAAAACTAAAATGTGTTGGTTGCACAATACACTAAATAATAGTAGAGGTATTACATTAAATAAGGTCATATGAAGCAGATCTAAAATTAAGAAATGGGACAAATGCAAGTCATAAATAAAGAACTGACACACTAGCAATAGTATTTACAACTCATGTGAACATCTATTAGTTTACATATAATTCTACATTTGAGTGATGCCTGCAAGAAGGAGTAAACAATAATTCCTGTTCTCTCTATTATTTGATTAGTTGGATTCAATTGACCTGTTGTGGAAGACCTTTGTTAAAGCTAATTCCTGTCGTGAAAATCCATTTTGCTCGAGCATCTTGGAAGAAAAAGCAAATAACGGACTGAAAGAGGAGAGTAGCATGGCATCAGGTAAGACTGGTTTCCAGTCAATTAGCAACCGCTGTCTTTTCACTCAGCCTTGCACAATGAGCTCCGTCAATGGCACGCATTAAAATCATCCCGATTTTTCGGTCTCCAAATCAAGCAAATCAAATGTGTAATTTTAATGACAAGACTTTAAAAAAATTAAAAAAATTAAAAAAAGTAATAATAATAATAATAATAATAATAATAATAATAATAATAATAATAATAATAATAAAACAATCTATTTTCTGTGATTTTAAAGTGTTTTTTTTTTCAAACTGCATTAAATCATAAAAACAAACAAATAAAACTACTTTCAAACAGGTGGTAAACTTGAAACAAAGGAATTGTTCTTACCTTGTGATCTGCTAGATGTGGCGATTACCTCGATGTCTCCTATTCAAAACAGATTTGCGAATTTAGTTATGTATTAATAATCTACCGCTGGGCTTTCCTTCCAACAGTGTGTGTGAAGCAGAGAGGGTTTGATGTATTTGTGTCCACACCCAGGTTTGACCACACCTGCAATTTCCTGTCGTGATATTTACATTGTGACAACGTTAAATGCACCTACTCTCACCACCTCCTACACACAAGAGATGACAATAAAGAGGAGCAGGTGGAGGAGGGCATTCTGGCCTGATGTTTGCCATTTTGTGCCTTGATGACGGTAATTTATAGTTCGCTAGCGGACGAAAGTTCAGAAAACTACTGAGTTGGACTCAGACTCCTGCTTTTGCTTTAAGAAGGTTGTATGAGTTGAGTTAATGTTTAACAGCAGCTCTCAGCTACACTGGGGAAATTACAGGGGCCATGAAGCTTATTATTGCACAAGTGTTACACCTCCAAGGCAGTGAAATCAGACTGTTATTCCTTAACAGGAATAACAAGGAGCTATTAAAAGGCATAATCAAGGAATTAGAGGTTCTCTGGGGCACTTGAGAAGTCATTTCAGATTTCTTGAAAAATGTACGGTCCTTGTAAAGCAATGGTGGATTTTGATATGGGCAATATGGTTTCCACGTAGGGTGCAATACTATCAGAGCATTACCCAAAGCTTTGTCAGGCCGTCCAAAAATAAGTCTTCTATTTTGATTAGCAGGTCTAGTAAATGAATAGTCCGCATCCTCTCTGCCTTACGCGCATAGTGGTGATAGGCTTGAGGCTAAGAGAGAAATTGTGAACCCTGAGAAGATGCTGGTTGAATCTGGTTACAGAGTTTCGTCATCAACAGAAAAATGAGTCTTGTGCTGACATGGACTGAGAGGAAGAAGTATGTTTTCTAAAAGTGGAAAAAAAAAAAGCAATCGCAGTTTGCAAACAAACTTAGGGACAAAGACTGGCTTTTTGGAGACACGTTTTGTTATCCAATAAAATAAAATATAAGTGCTAGGACAACAACTGTTGTTATATTAGAAGGAAAAAGCTGGAGGCTCGTGAGCCTAAAAACTAAATGCCAACTATGAAGCACGGAGGCGATAACATTGTATTGTGGGGGAGTTTGAAATGGGAGGAACTGGTGCACTACACAGAACTGATGTCATTATGAGGAAAGAACATGACTGAAGCAACATGAAGGGAATGTAAGGTTTGGACCCAAATGGACCTTCCAAGTAGAAAAAGACCCTACACATAATGCCAGATTAGTCATAAAGTGGCTTAAGGACAACAAAGTCAATGTGTTGGAGAGGCCATAAAAAGAATTTATTGAGATCCCAAAGAAAATCTGGGCAGTGCTGAAAAGTTTGCAATGCGGCAGGAACGTTGGTTCTGTCAAGAGAAATGGATTAAAATTCTAGCAAACAACAACTGTGATTACAGAAAGTGTATGCATGGTTCTAAATTTTAAAGAAAGTAATATAAATATAATTGTTCTCTTTGTTCTGGTAGACAGTAAACAGGAATTATTTTTAGTAATCCAAACTGAGCTAGAACAGAAAAAGTTTAGTCCAATTTAATGTCAGTGAGTGAGAAAAAGCTTAACGGTTATATGCCTGTCTATACCACTGTTATAAACATTAAAATTTCTACTTTGTCTACATTTGGTGCAGGTGGAGAAGCAAGCCCTGGATGCCAGTTGTGCAGAAACCACCAGTGTGTTCTAGTAGGGAAAAGTCATGCAAATTGGTGTGTAAGCTCATGTGCAAAGCATGAGGCTTATTCACACTCTGCATCCAAACATATTTGCACAGTCTTTAAGATAACAGAGTGAAACACTTTGCAACGAGCAAATATTAGTCCGTTGCCAAACAATAACTTTATAGTATTGTTACAGAAGCTTAACGGTTCATCTTAAACTTCAAGAAATGTCTGCCGTTTCGTGGCGTTTATTTAACTTTGCAAAGGCAGGCCACTTCAACACGTGAAAAGCAAAAGCTCTTTAATTCCACTCATGGATCAGCTTTGCCTATTTTCAGAGTATGTGAACAATCTGTCAGGTTCAGCTATAAAAAAAATTAATCATAGTTTAGACTTCCTTACGCTTACTTGTAGATATACATCTGCTGCATTTATTTTTTTTAATGAGATAGGATCATATTGATAACGCAGTCCCTTACAGGGAATCCAAAGAGTTCACTGTTACATAACTGATCTATTATTGTTATCAACATGATCTCAATAAAGTTGCACTTACCTTCAGTGGTGGCACCTCATTTCTTCATTCACTCTTGAACTCCATTCAAAATCTGACATCAGTTGCACTTAATGAACTTTGGCCCTTTCATATCTGAAGGGAAAAGTTGAAGGTTAGAAAGAAACACCGACAACGGGAATGCTCCGGGCTTGAACAATAAGCCATGTAATGCTTAATCCACCAGTGCAATTCAGCAACGTAAGCGGAAGGCAAAGGTCCACATCTTGACTCGGTTGCACATTAACTAGTTTATAATGGTGCAATTAATGCACCTGCCTGCATGCGACTGAACCCTGCAGACAACACAGCTCAGTAGGATCCTACTGAAAGATTAGTTTATAATTAAAGGGACTTTTAAAACAGTCATAATGTAGTGGACGAAGCTGTTTGCCTCACTTGCTTGAGAAATTGAGATTATATAAAATTTATGGTTCTACTGATTTTTTTTTTTTTTTACATTATCTATTTATTTATTTATTTTCTTACTTCTTTTCTCTTTGGCTTCAGCTGAGTTTCGCCATAGTTTGAGGGACCAACACTGATAACGTGATATGAAGAAATCCTGAAAAGTCATGGCTTTGCATTCCAGCAGATTGGGTGTAAATTTGACATTCTTGTGTCATGATAAAGGCATTATTTGTGTTACATTGTGCAATATTCATTTAATTTGAAAGCAGGTTATCCAGCAAGGTGCCAGTCTGTGCAATGGACAGTGTGTGGTGTCAGCTTACTTACAGGAGAAATCTAAACGTGTTGTCACTTATATTAATTTTCATTTTCCAGTTTCTGCTCCTCAGCCCACATGTTTATTTAGCTGCTTTCACTCATTAACCAAAACTGAAGACCATTATTATCGAATATTAGATGATAAATGACTTAGTCTTAGAGCCAAGACAAGATACAAGGCATGATAGAGGTAGTATTAGAACTGATATGGAATGGTTTAAAGTTTCCGTACAATTACGAGCTATTATGTGTTTAATTGAACATTATAAGACCTTTGTTCTTGTTGCCTGAAGGGTAAAGTCTGGAAAGGAAGTATAATCAAAATTGGCATGAAAGTTTATTGAAAAAGTTGAGGCCTGTGTATGAAGACCCTTTTTTTTTTTCTTTGGACAAGCTTAAAATGCAAAAATGTGTCAATATTCCAGCCGATGATCATTTATATGAAACTCTAAATTATCATATGATGTCATGTTTGGTACCTAATTATTGTCCAAGCAAAAATAAATGCAAATATTAAATATCTGCATTTATTCAGCTTGGATCATTTTAATATTAATTACTTCCTCGTGTGATGTATTAAAATCTACTCATGGAATAATGTGTTCTACATAATAGTTGTAAAAAGTGTAATTATTTGTCTCGATTATTTTGTGAGATTTGTAATGAATGCTGTGTCTTAACATTAATCTTAAACAATACACAAAACACTGTAGACCTGAGGCAGCCAATCAAGATTTAGTAGTTTTAATTCATTCATAATTATAAATATTCACACATACACAATCCTTCCTCAAGGTAAACAGGCCTGCTTACTCTGAATACATGATGAATTATTTTAACATCTCATTTTTAAATGACTATGAATGTTTTTCTGTGTGTTGTCCAAATCTTGTTCCGTTAAATGTCCAGATTTTCATCTGGTTCTCTGTTTTTCTCCCGCAGACCAAACTCATCTGTATTAGATTAAAGGACAAATGTAATATTTTAGAACCCGAAAACTCCCAAATCCTGTAAGTAAAAAAAGCACCAACACGTCACAATAAACAAGTAACAAAGACGGACACAGAAAGATTCTTTGTAGGAAAAACTCTTTGAAACATAAAGGCAGAATCGACTTTTGCAAACACAAGATGTAGTGAGCAATCTTACCTCCCTGACCGATTTTCTACACAGGAAAGGTTTGGAAAAATGAAATTGGTGAACTGAGCATTTTTCTCCTAACCAGCTAAAAATAAAATCACCAAGTACGTTTTTTAGCAATCATTATAATGAATAAGTTTGTTGAAAGTGTAATGCTTTTCAGGTATGAAAATGTGTTAACTCTGAGTTTTTCTTTTGTTTTGTAACCTCTACCACACCCACTCTTTCCAAGTGTTCCTCCAGCGTGTTATCTCATAATTACCTGGACCAGTGACTTATTTTCAGTGTCTGAACCAAATGAGTAGCAGAAAGTATATCAGTTTTTTTGACATGTTTAAGCAGGAAGATTAGTTTTTTTGCACTAAAGGGACTTTTAATTATAAAGTACTGATGTGTTAATTAACATAAGAATAAAGATTCTGGTCAGAACTAAAGCAGAAATTTTGTTAATCAGTGTTTCAGTTGTTTTGTCATTTTGGGGAATTACATGAATACTGGACTCACCACTGATCAATTATGAATCTTTGGGTAGAGTGCCGGTCTGTTAGGTCTCTAACCTACTTTTTTCAGACATCATTTCTCTCAACTTCCTTTTCTTGATTGCATATATTGCTGTATAGATCTTCACCTTAAGAACCCACACTAGACTGCAAAATGTCATCGCTACTTTCATTCTGGGTGACCACTGTGTTATTCATTGATGCCTTGTTTGATGTTCTGTACATAAAATCATCACTCTCTGCTAGCCAGGAACCTTGTTTGGCTGACTTGTGATGCGTTTTTCACTCATATACTTAAAAACATATTACAGTTGTGAAAATTAATATAGCTACCATGAGTTACAAACTGTAAAAATTCTCATGTACCGTATAACTATCCAAATGAAGGTCTTTGTTGAGTTTTGCCAAAGTTCTTACGCTTTGATCACAAGCTGACGAGTGTGCAAATTTGCAACTTTATTTATGTCGTACAGTACAGTTTTAACAGCATTTCTTTACAATTCATCCAACACTCTTAGCCTCAATAAACATAGTTCAGTAAAACCTAAGCTAGATTTTTTTTTTTTTTTTTTTTTTCAAATTTCAGAAATGCAACATTTATCATTTGACAGTGGTCACAAATGTTGATTTATTTTTTTTTATCTTTCAAAAAATTAGGCAGGCTTTTTGTATGTTCCAGGGTCAGAAATTTACCGCCACTGTCAAGGATTAAATGTTATAATTAAGCCACGGATCACACTGAACTGTAAACGTCTTTGGCGAATTTGATAATTTAATGCTACTGATATCAAACACCCTACAGTAATCCAGGCTAGCTTTATAAACGCCAGACTTTTTTCCTTGTTTTTTTTTTTTTTTTACAAAGAATCATTTTCAGCTTCTGTTTTAGGATTTACAAATAACAATGTCTCTGGAGATCCCAACCCAATAACCCGAAACAACAAAATAAGCACAGTAATGAAGGCACTTCATTCTGTAAGAGAAGGTCAATCACAGTTGTTGGAACAAAAAACAAAAACACACAAAAGAAAATAAAGCTCACACAGTCTTGGAAAAAAAAACAACAAAATATGATCTGTGAATTTGATTGTTTTTAGTAACTAAAATATTACCTGACAGAATCTTGATAGAATAGTAAAACTGCCTCTCTCTGATAGAAAAATTATTTTCTGCATATCTTACTCATAGAAACATTTACTATATACATACAGTAATATAATCTTTTGTCAGTAGGAGTCCTGTAGAAAGAGTCCAGGAATCAACAGATGGCAAGAATCCACAGAGTCCTTTTCTCCAGATTAAAACCAGTTCGCCTTTAAATGCTCAGACTGGCCACCCTTTTGATTGGAGGACAGAAGCCGGGCTGCGGGACCGTGGCAGAGAGGTGAGACATCTACCTGATGGGGTGCTGCCTTTTCTGCTACCTGTTCCTCAAGGCCTGTAAGGGGCTGTAAACGTCCTCCTCTTTACTGAGACCCTCAAACAGGGGGATCAGATCCAACAGCTCTGTGTCTGTCATGTCATCAAACCAGGACTGCACCGGGACCTGAGGACAGAGCAGAGAACAGCTTTGATTTGAAAGTGAGCAAAGGGGAAGAAAAAAAAAAGAAAAAAGCTGAGAACAGCTTCTAAAGTCTTGCATTATGCGTGAGGAGCTGGTGTGAGTTTGGTGTTAATAATTAATGGGGAGAAAAACATCAAAGGCTGGAAGAGTTGCAGAAAGTTCTCCACGGAGGAGAAAAGTCTTAAATTTGACTAACAGGCTGAACACTGATGAAGAACACAAGACATTCTCACTTGTAGTATTTTAACCAAAGAAGAAAATTATGCAACCGTAAATAGGGTTAAGTTTGAATGAAAAGTGGACAGACAGATGGAAATTCTTCCTTTAGCCCAAAGATAATGTTTTGAACTATTGAAACTTGACCTCAAGTATGTTGGACTGCCCCAAAAAATAACGACTCACTGCATTTTCAGGATGGAAGATGTACGAGGCAGGCGAGTTGTCCACAATGATGACTTTCCGGAGCTCTCGGCCCAGCCGGCTGAGGTCTTTGACGTAATTTCCTCTGTGGAAAACACATGATTCCCTGAAGAGCCGAGCACGAAACACCCCCCACTGGTCCAGCAGGTCTGCCACGGGGTCAGCATACTAAACCAGACCCAAAAGGAAAGAGATTATTGACGCAGCAACGGGGAGCATTTACTGCGTCTCACGTGAACCGACCTTGGCTAAACTGGCAGTGAAGAGGACACATTCAAACAACTCCCCCATTTTCTGGAGGAATTCGTCCACATGAGGCCTCTTCAAAACGTACACCTAAGTGTGGATGTTTAAAAGAAAATTCATCGTTAGCAAGAAAACTGTTATTGTTCAACAATTAAACTGCCTAATTCCTCAGAGTCAAACCTATTTTCCCATAACAAAGATAACACGCCGGTCCTCAATCTGCACGAATAATACCTCTTAATGGCTTCCTCCAATCAACCCATTTGGACCAAATGCGTAAAAGCAAACATTTGTTCAATCAATTCACAAAGAGAACTAAGGCAGCCTGTGTTTGCTGTTCTTTTTGTCTGCGTCTAACATGCAATGTTTTACCACTGGCATCTGCACTAACAGCAGCATGCTGATAAAGCAAACAATAAAACTACAATGCAATTCATGTAGTAATTTTGCAAATGTTTTATTTGAAAGACAGGCCTATTCCCAAGCAGAAATCATATAAAATTAAGAACTAAAAGTCACTTTAAACAATTTAATAAAATGTCAGTCTTTTTTTTTTTAATACACTAAAATTAGAACAAAACTGGCATTGATTTGGTAAACACACTTTTCAAATCGGAAAGAACAGTTTGTAGGGATAAGGCGAGACACATATTTCAGATTGTGATCCTTTTGTTGTCACAGCATTCCCTCAAGCAAACCAAGAGTGCATTGCATGACATTTTACATTCATACCGTGTAAAAAAAAGACTTGGTAGCCCATATTTGTCCGGTCTGCTGTTCTCCTCAGGAAGTCTTTGTGGGTTAGTTGCTCCTGCCAAGTGCAAGTAATCACGGATAGGCTGAAGTAGATCCACAAAGCCTATCCTGGATTACTTGAACGAGGTTGCAGCTACGGTCCTGAGTCTTGTTCTTCCCTCTGAGGTCAACGGATGGCGCAAAAGGAGTCTCTTGGTTTACTTCACCCAATTGCTTTTATTGTGTGAAAAAATCCTGCATTTTCAATAGTGTCTTCAACAGGTTTGGGGACATTTAAAGCTAAAACAGCCAAGTCAGAATCCATTTTTCATGACAGTGAGCAAGAAGAGAAAAAAAAAAAAATCAAGCAAAAACTACTAAGAGGTTTGAAGTGGCTGGACTTTGATGCACGGTAGCTGTGAGATAACAGAGAATAATAAATATAGAAATGAATGAAACAGGTTTCCCAGGGGAGCCCTCATGAATTAAAACAGGCAGTATAAAGTTATTATATTTACGCCTACGTACAGAGGTCTTCAACATCACAGCGGCATTACCTGATGAACAGTGCCGTCGATCTCCACCGGGACGATAAAGTCTGCATTACTGATGGGCTGCGGGAAGACATAAAAAAGAAAGAAAAACAACGAGAGGACTCAAAACTTGTCACTTGTTTTGCTCATTTTAGCACAAGAAAAGACACCCACAGCCACACACCCACATCTTATTTTATGGAAGAAAAGAAGTAAAATAGCCCGGCAATGTGCCTCAGGCGAGTGATGACTCCAGTCATCATGTGGCTCCCTTTGCTCCAGCACTCTGCGAGCGTTAAATAAAAACCAGTACTCTGGAGAGGAACTTGGGAGCTGAAGAAATATGACAGATACGAAGGCGAACAGAAGAGCCGCTGTTTTCTCTGTGTGACTCGTGTCATTTTGAGAAGCGGGAGAAGGAAGAGGAGAAGGTACAGGAGGCAGAGGGAGACAGATACCAGAGGGGGCGTGGGAGGAAGACGAGCGGAGGACGTAAAGACAAGGATGAAAGGATTAGGTACGAGGCGCAGTCATTTTGGTAAGAAGAAAAAAAAAAGAGAAAAGAACGAGGTGACAGGTAAAAAAAAAAAGACATTTCTACATGTACTCAGGGGAGAAGAGCTGTAGCTGTCACCTATTTGGTTAAACACTTAATAAGAAGTTATATATTGTAGGGATAAATTGCTATAGCATCACACCAGGGTACAACTGAATACGCCTAACAAATCTGAATTACGATCATAAAAGTGTCAGTGTTGGTTTTCACCAATCTAGAAAACAAATTTGTTGCTTTAGCACGAGCTAACCAGCCAGCTTTGACTAAATACGGTGAAACATACCAGCTAGCTTAAACTTTCAACTGAAACGACTGATGACGGCCACCTCAGTGTTGTTGGAGGACAGTAAAAATTGTTCGTACACATGATTTTAATCTCAGAAATTTCCCACAAGTTATCCTAAACATTAAGTCTTGCGGCGTTATCTCTTTCACTGATTACTTAGCGCGAGGACAGATGAATGCTTTTTCTGGCTTTTCAGGACTTCTGGCAGGCAGAGAACATAAAAAGCGTCATGTGAGCTGCTGGCGTTATGAAAGAAACAAGAGCAACTCCTTTGATGTTTCACCCCATTTGGACCTCGGCAAAGTGAAAAATGAAACAGAAAGAGTAGAAAGAAAATGTGAAAATAAGTTTCTTTACTGTGCTTCAGGTAAGACTCGTACACAAGCGCTGCAAAGCCACAGTGCTTTACAAGAATTACTTATTTCCTGTTGATTGCTTGTACATCCGTCTGCTATTCTTCTCATTCTCAGGTTTTTCAGGTAAAGCAAGTTTTATGGAACACTAGAGAAACTCCAAAGCCTGAATGTATCCTCACACTTTGTAAAGTTGGTATCTCTACCGGCCTTCAGGCATAAGAAATGTCAGGTTAGAAGCAACGGTTACATGCCATCCAGCAGAGGGGGTGTTTGCTTCAGAAATGATAAGCACTCTTTAACTTCTCACATCATAAATAAAAGCCCTCCGGTATTATCATTGCATATACTTTATATGATGTCAGATTTCAAAAGTAACTCAAATTAAATACTGCGTGTTTTTCTTTTCCCCTAAATCTATTATGCAGTTTCAGTAAAATAAACTGCGTATAAGCTGTGAGCAGAGCTAATAGGCTTTAACATCTACTAAAATACAATTTCTATGACTTCAACCTTTAAAAAGGAAAACAAAGGAAGGTGGGGTAGGGATCACAAAAGCTCTCCGCTCCTTTGGTTATTGCTCTTCTGCTGAATTGCTCCATAATCGGAAGACTGCGCATTCAACAGCTGCTCATCGCCCTGCTTCTGTCGTGGACAAGAGGCTGGGACGCATGAAAGAGAAGGTTGAAGTGTGCGTAAGACAGGAAGTAGGTCTAGATTAAGTAACGGAGAAAGGAGAGCGCTTAAATAACTCAACCTTAAGGAGTTTAGAGTGGAAGGTTTTTTGGTTTTTGACATATTTCATATCGGGAAATAAATGTTAGGAAGACATGCTCAAGATCGATTAGGCTGCATCACAGGAAGGCCAAGATCTGACCTTCATCTGTCTGAAATCTTTCCATCAAAGATTTTAAATACACACACACATACACACACGTACATTTATATAGTGAAAATCAAAACCTAAATCCAGATGAGAATTTGTGGCAAGACTGAAAACAATCAACACACTGAAAACAGTCAAAACTCTGATTGTACCTTAGCCGGCCGAAAACATGTTAATGCCTTCAACATCACACAGTTAATCATATTAAAACATAACTTTCAAGTTTGGTTGTAATATCACATAAAATCAATTACTGCATAAAAGCAACCAACTTTAGCCACAAAGTAAAAAAAATAAAATAAAATAATAATAATAATAACAGCACATGTTCAAATAAGTAGAATAAATGTCATTTGTTATTATGTAAATAATCCTTTCTGCTGCTTTGACATGTCTAGCACACACTTTATCTAATCCTGGAACAGGCCTGGGAATTATCCCCTCATCCATAACATGTGGGATAAAGCAGAAACTGCGGCGTGTTACGTAATGTTGCTTTTTTAGTCTATGTCCATCTGTGCATCATCTGTGTCCCCCGTTGTTTTCTTTTTTTTTCCTGCATTCATTGTTCAGTTCCAGAGCTTCAGAAAGAATGTGCATAATATTTTTGAATCATTATCACATCTGAACAGGAAACTTGGAGGAAATCCTGCGCAGGCCGAGAACGGAACCGAAAATGCTGCGAATGTGTCGTTTTATTTTATGTTGTTCTGTTTCCTCACAATCAACTGATTTCCATCCACCGCCCTGTCTGCTCCCAGCACATGTGGCATACTAATCTCTAAAGCGATCTAATTTTCCATGGATCCCAGCTCTTCAGAATGCGAGAGTGACTCGTTTTGACAAAGACGGAGAAAATGTATTCAAACTCGCACCGGATTTCTGGGAAATCCATGCCACAGCCATTCAATGCAACAGTACACTGTACAGGACACACCCTTGCGTCTGAGAGAGCACATGTGTTTGTGGCATATGATCGCCATGGGTGTGTGCGTGCATATTTTTTTTTTTTTTACATTTCACAGCAAATGTGGAATTCGGCTTGTAGTCACGAAGCAAAAACGAGTTAACTTCTTCACTTCTGAACGAAGCTACAACAAAGAGTCGTCACTCGGGGCTATTCAGATCTACTGCAATTTGACTTGAGGGATTTTTTTTTTTTTTTGTTAAAAGAAAATATAGCCAGGTATAATAAGAACAGCCCAGACTGAGGCAGAGCGGTGCTGAAATAGGTCACCAGGTTGGGCAGGTGTGTAAAATAGCTTTCATGCAGAAAGGAAGGAGCTTCAAAAAGCAGGATCATTGAAAATGTATTTATTCTAATGTACAGCCTACACTCGAGAGCTAAAAACGTCTGCGCACCTGTCTAACGACATGAGCAACAAAAAGGATGACACAAAGGTTCTCAGTGAAGAGGTGTGCCTAAATATTGAACAGATAATATATATTAATCTATATATCATATCTGGCAGTCTGATCCTCCACTCAAGGTCTACGGGGACATTGCGCCAGATTTATGATGCACTAAAGTGACTTTTCTACTCTGCATGCTATCAGTCACTCAGACACAGAGCCCTGCGTGGCCAAGCAGTACGAAGAAAACGGAGCTCACACAAAGTTGTATCACATACGCTTGCCTTTTATGCAGCAGGTGTTGTGACGTGCCTTCGGTGAGTGTGTGAAGCAACAGACAACCCAACAGCACAAAAATGAAATGAAATGAGAGTTTAAGGACAAATTGCTACAATATCAAGTAACATTGGACGTCAAATATAAACTACTACTGGGAATTAGCCCAATTAGATACTAAATAAATATAACTGTTAGGCTACAGAAAACCTTCGGATAGCGAGATCCAAAAATAACTGGAAGACATTTAATTTACAATTAGAAATGAACAAAAAGTAAGTTAAAAAGTCGGTTTATGTAAAAAAATAAAATAAAATAAAAAATCTGTCAGCTACTGTGTAAAAGTGAATTTTTTGTACGCATGACCATATTATGTATTTTTCCTTGAGAAACTTTTAAACAGCTATTCCACTAGTGTGATTGATTGATGGATGGATGGATGGATGGATGGATGGATGGATGGATGGATGGATGGATGAGGTACCTTAAAGGAGCTATGCACAAGGGTTTCATCCAGGTCGATCACCACACAGTTCTTGCCATAGTCGGCTATGCTGACCTCAGGCAGGAGGAACTTGGCTGGAGGCTGCAGAGAAAACACAGACAGGTTACACCGGCATGCATACTATATTTAGTGGTCAAGGGTAGGACAAACTGTCACGGCATGTGATACCAACTCAAACATTTTCACAATTAAAGTTGGAAAAGATTGTGATTCTTTCGGTAAATAAAATGCCTAAAACATGAACAGGTTTTAATAAACACAAGGACAGCTTTATTTTTTACTTATTTATCTGTAGGAGCTTCAGATTAAAAAATACAGCAACAACCTTGATATGATACGTGATTACTTGCCGCCGTTTTGGCAACAAATCGAACAGAAATGATTCTATGGACTGTGGGGTCTGCCTCCATGACTTGAGCGTGGATTACTTTACACTGACTGAGGTCAGTCAAAGGTTTCATCGATGCTGTAAATTATTTCAGTGCTGATTGAATTGTCTTATTGTTAGGAGGACATACTGTCAAAATAAGAAATTCAAATTCAATCTTCAGTGTTGTCACACACAAAAAAGTATCATTTATTTAAAAATGTATTTTAAGATCATTTTTTGTGTAGTGTTATCCAGGTCAGGTTTTGTCTGTCTAAATACTCAGTTGGAATTATTAATACAGATAATTAGCCCTTTAATTTAGAGCAGGAGGCCGACTTCAGTGTTTTTAGCCAGAAGCGACGTCGGCCCACTAATCCAACCCTTATTTTCTAACTGTGCAAAACGACGGGATGGTGCCCACTTCTCTCTGACTGGACATGCAAACCTCCGTGGCCCCATGGCGGCACAGCGACCGGAGTGGGGATTCAAATCGCTCTTCTCAAGAACGACTCCTGGTGCTGCGTTCAGGGTCACGGGAAGGGAGGAATGATTCTGTCCTTTGCCAAAGCCTGGGGTTACACATAGGCACAAGGCAGATGGTTCAGCCACAGGGGGCACACACTCACATCGGTGCTCTTATTCACACAAACTATCCACACACACACACCCAGACTGTACAGAGGTGAAGATCAAGGACTCTTTCAATCCACAAACACATTCCCACAAGTGAGCTGCCACTCATTGTGCCAGGCATTTCCTGCGTGTCCCTGTGTTTAAGCCTGCTTTTCCATGGCAGACTGTGTTTATCATGTCTTATCACAGGATGTATTGCAGGAAGAATTCCCTCTGAGCAAGGACACTGAATGACACCCAGTATGCCAGTGATTTATTGCATTTACTCTTGCCAGCTGAGCTGCTTAAGTTAAGAAAGACCGACTTCACATTTTCACCAGGCGGATGCGATAATCTTTTCCGCAAGATCAAGCCAGAAGATACACAGTGATGACCAAAGCATAACATGCTGACCGGACGGAAACACTAAATAAGAGCAAAACAGACCCTTTTTTTTATAAGCATGTAAATGTATAAGTGAAATAACAATGTGTCTCATAATGCTTTCAAACAGCAATTAAATATTGTTTGCTCTGGTGGCCAGTTTTAAAATTGTGCTTAGTTTCTATTACTTTATCAAGATTAAAAGAGCTGTATGTTGTCAGTCAGTTGTGTATGATGGCAAAATAAGAAATATTCCCCTACCTATCATTTTTGGAGGTAATGCAGCCTTTTAGACACTGCTGCAGGCTTGGCACCTGGCTATTTAACACATCTGATTTATTGGCTAACATCATCTTGCCTCCAGCCTCATAATTTTACTTTAAAAAGAGTGGAAAGGCAAAACAAGGAGATAAAAATCTGTGTGCTCAGTAAAAAATACCTAAGAACTACCATTGCATTCAAAATCTATACTAAATTTATTGGGAACTCTACAAAAATTTGAACCTTCAAACTTAAAACATCTGAAGCTGACACCAATATTGCAACCATAGAACCGATATAGGATTTAAAACCATTAATATTATAAATAAACTTATCAGCTACACAGGAAATTAACGATAAACAAGCCATATCATTTTACCAGCAGTTTGTAGTATTTCTTAAATAACAGCAGTTCAAATGTGCACCTTTAATTTTTTTTTTTTCATTTTAATACAGAATAAGTGTTAAAACATGATGTCAGAATATGACACAGTACCAGATCTCATCCTGTAAGACCTGACAATTATCATGTGACACCCATCAAAATGATTGTCACATAAACTAAGACTAATGAATATGTTAAAATTATCACTGCCTAGTTAGTTTAAATTTTTTTTTATGTACGCAAAAATAAATCAGCAAAATGAACTTTAATGATCAGTTATCATTTACTTAAGAAGTGCCATATAGGGTTGAATTTTAAAATAATTAAAGAAATATATGCTTTGAAATGCCAGAGTAACTTTTTGTATAACAAGTCTGTTTGAAGCCTTGGGAGTGTGGTCTCACGCTGCACATAAAGTTTTTGCGACTTTTGATACAGACCTGACCTGTCTACCCAGGCTTGAGTTATACAAGTCACCGCTCAGAATAGTTGACTCTGCTCACGTCCTCCTGGCAACACAAAGAGCAGCCCTCAACGCCGTATGCATTTCCTGCTATTGAAGGGAGCCGTCTGCTGGGTGGTTCAATTTAAAGCTTGGCTGCAGACGTCGGGATGTTGCGAGTGTGAATATTCGAAATTACAGTAAACCACAGGAATCTTAACACATTCCAAAATAGCTAAGTGAAATGCAGCATCAGTACCGACTTCCAATACCCAATCTAAACAAGGTGGAGGCATCCATTTGTTGACTTGCTCTCTTTAAAACACAGGTTAAAAACACAGGAATTGAAAAGTTGACAATGGCACATAAGGTAACACCATACATCAATTGCATTTTTCTGGATTTTAGCAGTTACTTTGCCTAAATTTAAAAGACTGGTCACTGGTTACTTGTCCAGTACTCAAAGGTTACTTTCTGGAATGTATCTCGTAGTATCCCGAACTATTTACAAGTCACTCTTCCAGGAAAGGGTTACTCACTTTCCTGAACGTACTTTCATGAAAATTTAAAGAACTTAGCCAACACATTCCCAGAACTTACCATTTACTTACTGAAAATTTGAGTTCTTTTATCCTGAACTTCCACAATGTTCCTGTATGTTGCAGAAAACCTATTATGTTTCAGGAAAGTAACTAGTAAGTACCAAAAAATGTTCCAGAAGAAACTTAGTAACCTAAAATAAAAAAAATAAAAAATAAATCTATCAATTAGATCCAGGAAAATGCATTTCAAGCTCCAGTAAAGTAACCAGTAAGTTCCATGAAAGTTCCAAGAAAGCAACTGGTAGGTTCTGGTAAGTACCAGATAAGATGTGTTTTGAAGTTGCTTCTACATTCTGGTGAAGCCCCTGATAAGTTCCAAGAAAGTAATCTGTAAGTCCCAGGAAAGTATCTGATAAGTGTGAGAAAGTTCCACAATTTCTGCGAAGTAATTTCTAGGTTTAGGGAACACTTGTAAGTTTCAGGAAAGTAACCAGTAAGTTCCATAAAAGTTAACTGGAAGTACCTGATAAATCCCTAAAAGTAACATCTAAGTTTGAGTAAAGCACTCAGTAATTTCCAGAAAGGTAAACAGTAAGAGATATGAAAGTTTGAGGAAAGTACCTTGTAAGTTACAGAAAGTTTCAAGAAATGTTTTGCAAAGCAAGCTCTAAGTTCTGGAAAACTAGTGAACTCTTCTATGAAAGTTCCAGGAAAGTATATGGCAGGTTCTGAACAATAACCACGAGATTCTGGGGAAGTAGAGTGTGTATTATGTAGTGTTGCCTGAAGGGATAATTGGTGAATCTGAAAAAATATTTTTAAATTTTAATGATTGGAGAGTTAAAAGCACTAAAGAATTGGAAGGCACATAACCTCATGAACTGTGGAAAATCGAGAATATTTCATCGACCGGGAATGAAAAATCACCTTGATGTCAGCAGCTGCATGAATGATGAAGCACCTCAAGCATAGGGAGAAGGTTAGTGTGATGAAGCGTGATGGAGAAGAAATGAAATACAATCATACATACACTGAGTATTGGGATGACCTGGACCTCGTCATACTGGAGGATATAAGCGGAGAAAGAAAAAAACAGACACCGAGAGAGATGGCGTGGAAAAAACATAAAAAAGAAGAATATGGAAGGAAATGAAAAACAGCCGAAAGTACAAGTCTACAGCAATACATTAGCCAGCAAATGGAAAAGTTGGGAAAGACAGAAGAGGTGGACGTGTAGCACAAACATTACGGGAAAGTGAAAACAACTTACAGAAAAAGAAAACAAACAGAGCTGCCATAGTAACAAAATTCATCTGGTTAGAAATCCAGCAACACCACACTACTGGGAGGGAACTGTGGGCGCAGACCCAGTCTGAAAATCAGTCTCTCTGAAACAGTGTTTTTGGGGAAAGATCTCTAAGATCACGCTAAATGGACGGGAACAGATTTATTGCACAGCGATGTGGAGCAGGTTAGCTTTGACAACATGAATAGTGACCTGTAAAGGACAACAGATTTCTCCCCTCAGTGTGAGACATTTACAGATAAACAAGAATGAACGTGTGACGATTCCGATTCCATTTTTAGCCCGATGTACCTGCGTTTGGCAGCAGAAGACTGTTTGTGGAGGAGCTTCGGGGTTTGGCGCCTTTTTCCACAGCCAGAGAGTTTCTCTTCACACTTTGTCACTACACTGGTCGGAGTGTACCAGAGGAGAGAGGGGGGAGGCGCTGGTGCCAAGCAATCCATCATACCGGACATGCACAAGGCCAACTTTATGGGGATTAGAGAGGCTCTGGTGTGATTGCATGTCTGTGTGCACACGTGTGTTGCCAATGGCAGGACGTGTTGCTCCCTGATGTCCGACCACGAGCGAGCAAGTGTGTGTGTGTGTGCGTGTGTGTGTGTGTTTTTAGGGGCTTCTGCGTGTGCTCGGTGCGCTGTGTGTGTTACTTTGTGCGCGATTAGGTGCTCAGGCAGATATCGAAGAATGCATGATGGGAAGCCAGCCCGTATTTTTTAAGCAGCGGATGGTAAACAACCTCTGGGTTCAACGGGTTTGAAGCAGCTGGAAAAATTTGCAGAGAGACAGCTCAGAGAGGCAGCAGAGCGCCTCTGCCCGAAGCCCCAGCGAGAGAAGGCAAACTCCAACAAACTTTTTGTAACAAAACCAAACAAAAGTCATTCGGCTCCACAGTTAAACTCGGACTCCTGTCACAAAACATTAACTAATTCGCCGAAGGTCTGTTTGGTCTTCTGAATGTTAATGGTATGTAATTTGGACCCTGGCCAACAATAAAAGAAAAACATGAGTTTTACCTTAGGAGGACTGCCATTCTCCTCTGGAGGAGGGGGCAGAGAAAGTGTCTTGTTGTTGGCGGGTGGTGGCTCCACATGGTAGTCATTGTAGTTGCGGAAGCAGCAAAAGAAAGGGCTAAAAATGCTCCTACTTCGGTGCTTCTTTAGGCTGCTGTTGGACTGGGAGACTGGAAGAGACGACCACAGAGAGAAACAACACCGTTAATCAGACCGCTATCACTCTACATACAGTTTATCTGAGACAACTGCGAAAGAATGAAGTATGTAAGAACACTAGAAAAACAGAGTCAGAATATAGTTTGATCAGTTTAGTCTGGAAACAATGTGGTGTAAATATTTTTTTTTAACCTTTCTGTCCAATCTAATGTAATGTGGAAAAAGTATTTTTTCATGTTTGTCTGTAAGGATAATGTTCGTTTTCTGCAACACCTACTGAACACTTTCCACAAAAATGTACTTGTGTGAGTCAGCAGAATATTTGCCCAAAAGATCTGGGGATTATCCCAAAGCTTCATTTGGTGAATGTGAAAAGGGCTTTGAATTATTTTTGGTCAGAAATTATTTTTCACCTGGAATTTACCATTTCTGCCTGGTCTCTTTCCAACTTTTGAACCATGAACTCTGATCTAAACTGAGGAAAGTGAGGTCTAACACTTTATAACTTTTTTTTATAACTTCTTGGATGAGTAGTTGATTTACGGTAGTAGTAATTTTGGTTGACTAATCTCTCTTAGGAGAGTTTCTGACCCATGTTTTCTCAATTTTTCCGATAAAGGTTCTTAGTTTAGTTTGCTGGACTCCCAAAGCCTAAGAACTGTCTATCACTTCCAGACTGATAAAGGCCAGTAATTGTAAATTTCTTTAGCTTATGGCACAATCTTTTGTTTTTTAAATCTTTTACTCCATGTAGATAGGTTCTCCTTTATTGTGATTTCTTGATTCTGCGGGTTTGACAGTCATCAAGTCTGAAAGTGGCTAGAGTAATTGAAATGAAAAATGTGGTCAACAGTTAATTTATAATTTAATTCATAGGTGGATCTATATTTTTAAAAGTGGGCCACGTTGCTTTGGACAGCCACCTAGCCTTATAAATAAAGCCTAATTTAACAATGTTTTATATCTCTTTGTGTTTTGTTTGACATATTAAAAATTGATTATGTAAAACATTCGAGTGTGACAAAAAAAATGCCATAAATAAGGGTTAACACAAGAAAATGGTCAGTGATATTTCTATGTGACGCAAACAGAACGCCCTGTGGCCATTTGTGAGCACCAGTTGCTCAATGATTTTAGACAAAGCATGGAAGTTGTTTTAATAAATCTAATCACACAATATTAAAGCAGCTGCTCTAAGCTTGTCAATTTTTCTTTTTCTGAAAATTTAAGGATTATTTCATCTCACCTTGCGTGCCCAAACCCTTCAACGTTTAAGTAAAATACATGGTGAAAACAGCAAATGGAGATGCAATAATCAAATTATGAATAGACCCACAACTGTCCTCTTCAAAGTCTCCAACATCGTCACATGCGTTACTCACTGACAGTATGACACACAGGCTGTTTCACGTGCCATATTATCACAACAATAGACCGAGTCACTCAGTGTGGCTTCGGCTCATGCAACAAGAATCACGCAGACAGAAATAGCTGTTATCACCGGGCCCTCTGGGAGTCCAGTTATTAAACATGGGGAAAAAAATCAGAGTGAGAGATTTAATAATATTATGTATTAATATAGTCACATTCAATAAATTAGAATATTATTGAAAAGTTTTTTTTTTGAGTAATTCATTGATTCTGATCTTTTTAATGATGATTTTTTTTTGTTGTTTGTTTTGTTTTTTTTACTTATAGTTGATGAAACAAGCCTCATCGGAAATACTGTACATATTTTAATTTACTGAATATGATACATAGTTGTGGGTTCATCTCCTCCACCTCTGTCTCCAAAGCCCACAGCACATTTCCACCCTGAAAGATCTGTGAACCTGTTCAAATTTGCTATAAGAATAAATGTGTATCTGGGCAGGTTAAGAAATACATTTCAGTTTGCATCACTCATTTAATTTTAGTACACATCTACTGATATTCACCCCAACAACCCCAAAAAGATTTTTTTGAATTGAAGCAAAAAACTACATTTCCATGAGTAAAAAGGGAGCAGAGAGAAGAAAAACAATTATTATGTAACCGACCCCTCTCACATTACAATAAACTGAGTAAATACAGCTGGCCGTACCAAATCAAACGGATTTGCAAAACTAACAACTACATAGCAAATCTCTTTCAAATAGTATTACTTTATTGCATTGACTTACTATTCTTTTTTTTACAGCATGTCCTAAACAAAAAAAAAAATCCACAGCTTCAGTCCTTATATGGAAATGCACACCTGTTTTAAAATAGCTTGTAAATATGTACTTTAAAAAAAAATTCTCCAATGATCACTGTCCTTGTGTGTTATAACAGAAAGCATCTGCCCGTCATTTGGCAATAATTTCTTTCTAGTACTGAGTCTCTGAAGGACAACTTATGCAAGACAGCGGCTGCAGAAGTCATCTTTAGAAATGGAAATCCTGAGGTAGGACTGTGAAGTGAGGACTGACTGAATAAAGCAGGAGTCATTTCTGTGCCTTAAAGCTGCATCCATGTTTGCTGCTGTCTTATTAATGCATCTGTGTGTCACACGCAGCACAGTTAGCTGTGCATGCTGTGGCTGCAGAACGATGCCTAAAACTGTCCTAAGGCTACTCATACTGAATCTGACAGGCTGTCTGCAGTTCATTTTCTTTGTTCTCTCTGTCTTTGTAGTCCAAACTCACTCCGGCTCTTCTTCAATCCTCATTTAAAGTCCCAATCAAGTGGCACTTTGGTAGCCTAGCGATGATAAAACGAAGGTAAGATGACTTTCGTATAACGAACAGAGCTTTTAATGGACGAGGCATAAAATAAAGTCATAGGAATATAGACATGGACAAATGCAGAGACTTCTTATGTTTACAGTCAAGAACGTAAATTTAACGTAAATAAAAAAAAAAAGATCAATCACTGTTAAAGCTTCATTAAACTAAAGGGATGTTACATTTCAAGTATTCAGGACCAGATCTATTAGAGCTCTGTGATGTCCAGTTTTGTAAGGTTGGCAAAACACCAATGCTAACACTGCAAACATTAACAAAACCCTAGATTGAACTAAGTATCAGCCCTGATTCTGAAACTATGGTCTCAGTGTTTTGATGTCATTGTTTGGTTCTCCATTTTGGGACAGTTTTCTCTCCCAGTTCTGTTGCCCAGACCAACCGCCTGAACAAAACAGGTGGGAGTGAAAAAAGGGGAAAAGAGCAAAGAGGGAGGCAGAGAGGGGGGACCGAAGGGTGCAAGATGGGAGGGGAGAATAACTGTGGTGAAGTAGCCTATACTTGGGTCCGATTCTTACTCCACCCCCCTCCCAAACCACCATCCTACGCAAACACAGCTCTCCTTTCTCCTAGGGACACAAACAACATAGCTGGGAGTCGACTGCTTCTGGCGACCGAGTGAAGGCACACAAGATGCATGCATCGGGAAAACCGTATGGACGGTCAACAAACCGCATACTACAAAGATTGATTTATGGCAGAATTTTTTTTTCTTTTAATGGCCAAAAATGTGTCTGAGGCCAGGTCCGCTTTCATGAGGTCTGAAAATAACTGCAAAGAGTTAAAGGTTTTCCATTTGCCGTAAAGTGCAGAGGCACTGAGCAGACTGCAGCAACAAAAACGACTTTGAAACCAGTTCAAAGAAAAGAACTGAAAAAGCAGTTCACAGTTCTGTTGACAACAGGTTTGGCTGGTCACACTCAAAGGCCAGTGCGTGAAAAAGTTTTTTATATCCGCAGAAGGAGAGATCTTTAGCGCAGGTGCATATTATTTGCCCGCTGAGTGAACGTCATCACCCTCAATACCTCCTCTCTTGATGTAAGAGCTGTGCAAAGTGCTTTAAGGGCCGCCGTGTGTATCAATGCTACCGCTGAAGATCAGGTAACAACAACAGAAAGTCCACTAGTCAATCAAAGTGTGCAGGGCCCGGGCTTTCTGTCACATGTTCAGGCGCATTCACTAACGAGGCCGGAAGAGGGAGAAAACGCAGGAAATTCCCTGCATTCCTGACAGGAAGAGATAATCACCCCATGACCCACAGTGTGGAATATTGCCAGACTCCAAGAATAAGATCCCAAGCTTCGCTCAAGACTTTTAAAAGGTGGAATCCACTCGTCCTGCTTTAAATGCACGGAAATACAGACGGTAACTCACTCAGCGCCTGACAGCTTTAGAAGCTTTTCTCAAAGCTGAACTTGATCTATAGCTACTGATTTTATCTGCCTTTTCCGTGTAGTGTTTGGCTCTTCAACCTAACAGCGCTTTGCATTTGAAAACATCCAATATGGCATATATCATTAATCAGCTAATCATAGGCGTTATACATGACAAATTCACCATAAAATAACTGGATCCTCCATTAATAAATGCAAGGAAGGACAAACAAACACATCTTAGTGGGAAGTTGGAATTTGTGAATCTTAAAAGCTGAAAAATTGAAAAAGCTGAAAAAGACGAATTTCAAAGATAACGCAAGCAAGTTACTGAACAGACTTTTTGTCATTGCGTAACACAAAGCAAAAGCAGCATTACATTTAGTGTGGACACAATCTTTTTTTGGAGGCAAAATGAGGAACTCATTGAAAAGTATTTTAGCCAAACGATAATCTTGCAAAGTCTTTGCAGTTCGGAGCTTTTACTTTACTTTTACTTTTACTTCTGGTTATCAGTACAAATGTTTTTGAAAACTTTTCAGCTTTTTCAAACTTAAAAGTGATCATAACTACTTTTTTTTTAATCTAGTTACTTTAAAATCATTTTCTAGCACTTATCTGAGACCTGACAACAATTTTTAAAACAACTTATTTCAGGTTTTAAATAAATTAAATTAAATATCTATTCTTCTTAATCTGTCGTCGTGTTTCACCCGAAAACATTCAGCTCAGCTCTTTGGATTTAAAATGCAATCATCATTAAACTTTGGGTACAAACCGTTCAAATCTAACTACAAATCAAAGTCTAATTTTTGATACTGTAAAATAGAAAACCCTGACAAACAAAAATGACAAAAAGTGTTTATTGCAGGCAGATTTATCATCACTTAGATGTATT